GCGGCAGCTCTGGTCACGTCGGCGTCGGCCGCCGCCTTTACCGTCGGTCGCGGGCTATCCATACCTCTGGCCATAAAACTCAAGCCCGAAGTGATTCTCTATGCAAACCACGTGATGATGGTGTCCGGCATATTGATCCTCATATTTTGGGCCAATACATCCGTCGTGATGATGTGGACGGGAAATATCATACTGGGCGCCGGCTTCTCGTCCGTGTACGCCTCCATGTATGCATTCCTCGGTAAGTGAAACGTGAAAGTCACTAAACATTTATTATAATATACAGTAATATTAATGGATCTATTGTTTTCTCAATGACCAGAGCACCAGTTCCAGGTGACCAATACGATTGGGTCTATATTTGTGTTCGCCGGGGGCCTCACCTGTGCCCTCTCGCCATCACTCGTGGGACAGTATATCGAAGCCAACCCTTTGATTCTCATTTGGTTTAACTTATTGTGTGTCACTCTCTGTGTGTTAATCTTTGTGTCCATTCACGTGACTATTTGTACCAAAAATCGCCAAAAGAGAGTAAAGATTAGTGAAATGAATGGCGAGGATGTGGTTATCAAGAAAGTGTTGCCTTAATATGTATTATTTAGCATAATATCATTTGTTATATAGATTTCTACTGTTAGTTATCTCTAATTAACACATCTCTTATTCATAGCTCAATATGTATTGACTATTAATTATATTTCACAACTTTAATCGCCAATTAATATTCATAATAACTTTATTTATAGCCATTACTTGTACTTATAATAGACTTTTTGTATGATATACAAATATTATTTAGATAACTTTCGCAATCTTAATTCATTTTGTAAATTAATTCAGTCTTTCAACTCCATTGTAACGCAATATAATTAAACATTATGTTAATTGTGACACCCCGTTATAATTGCACATTTATTACACAGATTTCATATATATTTCTAATATAAAATAATTAAAAATTCATTAAATACAGTGATATATAAGTAATGAGGAAAATATTCAAAACCATATAACTTCTCATTTGTGATCCAGAATTGCGTAAAACAAGTCGTTATGATGTTATGATTTGCATTAAGCGATCGTTTTTAGGATAACGTTTTGTCACTAACTATTAAAATTGTGAATCTGTGAGCGCACATACATTTCCAAACTTATAAATATATTATGTAACATTTTTTTGTGTATATTGATTTTGAAATAACTTTTTATCGATATTAGTCCGGCTAGATACATAATTAAACGCTCAAAAACAGTTTGATCGGTATCGATTTAGATTTACTTTTAGACACGTTTACATTGAAAATATTATTTATAAAAAAAGTCTGCAAAAAAAACTTTCTAATAAACAATTCCATTGAAAAAAATAATTAATAAATAAAATTTCCTTAAAAACAAATTTATTGATATATAATTGCTGTACAAAACAAAATTAGTTTTTAAAGAAATAAATTATGTAATAAATCGTATTTCAATGTCTGCTGTTATTTTGTAATTGAAAAGCACATCATTTTATGACATTTTTAAAATCGTTAATCTCTAATGGAAAGGGAGTTAATGTTATTTATTTTGGTAATAACAACAAGTGGTTGACTCGGGTTTGTTATGGATTCTAGTCATTGCCCAAAATATTCCTATTTTTGAAAACATATTTTCCATATACTCTGTGAACTCTATAAATAATTTATATTTTTGTTTTAATTAACTGAAAACCTAATAAATATTCTAAATATTAATTTACATTGTAATTTTAGACAAATAATAAGCTTAAATTACACTTAGCTATAAAATAATAAAACATTTAAATCCCTTGAATTCTATAGAGTATAGACTACAATATGTGGGTTTAATTTGATTTCTATAGAGATTTATTGGAATAAATGTAATCTTCAATGAGTTTGAGCACAATTTCTATTTTTAGAGCTATTTATATGCAACATTATATTAGCTTTCTATTAATTTCAACAAAAATACTAAAAAGAGTCAGTCATGAGATCAATTGACATAGGAGTTTGAAAAGGACTTTTATTAATATAGTCAGCATTTATTATAAATTATTTAGTATTGTATTTCAAATATAACCAATTATCAGATACAATAGCAAGTCAAATTCTATGTAATAAGTATAAAAATATTTTAATCGACCATATTAAATTCATTAAAGTAATTCATTTAACATTTTAAAAATGAGTTCAAGTTTTAATTACAACTTAAATGAAAGTTATTTTTCAGAAAATGGATTAATATTTGAGATGACAGTGAATTTATATAACGATAATCATGGACTCAAGAGTCAGTAATTAACAACAAATAACACTTTTATTTTTTAATTAATAAATAAGGCATCACATAATAAATAAAATATCATGTACTGTACCAATATAATTTCAAATAATATTCTCAACAAATATTCTGGCCTAATATTATTTTGTTTTATTAAAACAATAATTAATATAAAAAATAAATCAAAATACAGACAACGTGATCATCCCTTAAGTAAAACTAAATTAGAAGTAAAGATCACGCGATAAACGGTATATGGCTTTCAATTTCATTAATCAAAACTTAACGACGAGATTATATGAAAATTTTGAGGTCGTGTCACAAATTCAAGTGGACATGAAATTTAAATTTTCAATGTATGGTGCAAAATATTTACAACAAAAAATATTTTTCATAGTCTGCCGCGTACAAATATCATTAATTATAATATTAAAAATTCATAACTACCTATAATTTGTTGTAAAACGTCTGTAATATACTAATACTGTTAGATTATAAGATTTAAAAAAAATATAAAGTAAATTCTTTTGAATAATATTTTGGACTTCCTTTATGTGAATTAAATTCAAATATATTACATAACAATAAATTATTAATATTCAGGATATATCAATACATAGTCATTAGTTAAGTGACATCTCTATAAATGAAAATATAATTCACGTATTACTCCGATAAGCATCAAATGATTTTTAAATACAATTTCTATGCAGATGTTCAGCACTGATGTCACAAAATACATCAGTCTTTGGGACAATCGCTATCTTCAGGCAATTTTGGATTACTTTTGCTGAAAAGTTCATTAAATAATTACTATTCGTCCACTTTTTATACATTTTGAAAAAAAATTCAGCAAGTGTACAATTATGATTATTAAAAAATACATTTTTAAAAATATTATGTAATAGTAACTGTAATTATAATAATATTGAATGAGATGTAATTAAGTTATTTGTTTAGAAATTAGTAGAGAATATTCATTGACAATTAATCCTTGACTATATTTGGATAAAAAATACTGTTATGGGTATTTAAAACTAATTTCAGATTAGATAATCACAATTATGTCTGTGTCTCACAAATAACAAGTATAATAAATGTAAGATTTTACACTTAAAATATTCATCACTAATATAATCATTTGGGGTCATCCGAAACACTCTCCCCTTTTCGTAATTTTTCATAAAAAATTCACAAACCATTGAGAGATAAGGATTAATTGAAAAAATTGCCTAAGTTTATTGATATGTATATGACTTAATATGTGTATTAAGTTATTTTAATTATTATTCAATGCATGGATATACGGTATGCGTTAACTAACGGTATTGATTGTAGTATTGAAAGAAAAAATGGATTTCTGTTAGAGAGAAGTGAAATGAAGAGCAATGGAAAGTGAAGTGATAGTGATTTGAAGACCAAATTCACAATTTATATGATTTCTGACTTACATTGAGAAAGCGGTAAACAAGGTATTGAAAAAATGGATTTCTGTTAGAGAGAGAGAGAGAGAGAGAGAGAGAGAGAGAGAGAGAGAGAGAGAGAGAGCAGCGATTTAATTAAATACAAATCTCATCTCAATCTCTAATTTAATGGGTCGACTCATCCCATAATCGCCTGTGCCGTCAAATGAGTGTTTAGAAAGCTATACCTTGTTTACCGCTTTCTCAATGTAAGTCAGAAATCATATAAATTGTGAATTTGGTCTTCAAATCACTATCACTTCACTTTCCATTGCTCTTCATTTCACTTCTCTCTCTGAAACAACACTTCAAACACAATGTTTAAGGTATGCATCGATTCATTCACTTCTAGTGATTTGATTTGATTCATGGAAACCGTGTTTTCAAAATATGTGTTCAATCTTACAGTTGACTGCTTTGCTGGCTATCATCGCCTGCTCCTCGGCCCAAGTGCTCCGATTCAGTCCACTCACACTGGGCTCGACCAACGCCGCCGAGTTGCAGACCATTCAGCTGACAGCTCCGGCACCCCGGGGACTAGCGTTGGCCAGACCCGCGGTGCACGGCCTGCACGGCGTGCGAGCCATCGCCGCCCCGGCCGCCCTCCACGCGGCGCCCATTGCCATCGCCCCTCAGCCCATCGCCATCGCCGCCTCACCCCTGGCCAGACAGGCCGTGTTCGCCCGACAGGCCATTCACGCCATCCCCCAGCCAGCCATCGCTCTCCGCGAGGAGACGCCCGAGCCCTACACCTATGCGTTCACTTCCGTCGACGAGTTCGGTACCCAACTGTCCCGTCAAGAGCAGGCCGATGGTAGCGGCGCCGTCACCGGCTCCTACAGCCTTTCCGACCCCGATGGTCGCCAGCGTATCGTGGAGTACATCGCCGACGCCGCCGGCTTCCGGGCCACCGTCAGGACCAACGAGCCGGGCACTGCCAACGCCAACCCCGCCGACGTCCAGATCCACTCGACCGCACCCACCCGACGATAGGCTCATAATTTATTAACTTTTTCTATATATATATGTTTTGAATATATATAAGTCACGACTAGTGAAAACAAATTGAAAAATGATTTTGCCTTTTGCATTGTATATGAATTATTTTTAAATTGTAATTAATGTATCAAATTTAGTGCCAAAATTTGCCCTTATTTTCCAATAAAATCCTTTTTTGATATAAACCAATGGCTTAATAATTTGTAATATTATATTTTCAAATATACAGTATAATCCCAATTGATTATCGTAGCAAAAGTGTTTATTATTTTAATCAGTGCAAATTTCAATTGCAAAATAGGCTTATATTAGTCAATTTTGCATTAATTACAATTTAATATTTAAAATATTAAAAACTTATAAATTACATACATTTATGGTTACCTTTTCAAGCTAACTAGAGCTAATTAACATTGGATTACTTTCTTATCTTAAACTGTGATTTACTTTAACTTACATTTTGTAACCAAAAAAGTTAATCTTTTATCAGAAGCGATGGCATTCTGTGTTATAGTGTTAACTAAAAGTGCAAAAGTGTATAAAGAAGTGGGTTTGATATGGTTTGCACTACTATTCCGTCTATGAATTTATTGCACATCTTTACATCAAATTAGTTGTGCATTCATTACGAGTCATATGAATCTGAATAGCATTCAGTAAGCGATTAATTAGCGGCACAAACGGGTCTCTGTGTTGACCAAAGACCACTTGCTTGACAGGTAAGGGTAGCTGACGTCCCAACTAAATGGTACCCTGAATTGCACGCAAAAGCACAACTTTGCCCAGGTATTCCTAAATTATTACTCATTGATTAGTTAAAAATTAAATCATAATTAAAAATGAATACCTGGTGAGCAATAACCAGATACCACACCATTTGTCGGCGGACCTAATGAGGCACATCTAATGGTGACGGCTATGCATTGGACAGTATTATTCCACACCCCGTTTGACTGGCAAACACTGACAGAACTGCCCACTAATTGATAGCCAGAATTGCAGGCAAAACTACAGGCGGCACCGGGAGCCGCCACACCACAACTGCCACTCAGTACTCCATGCGTTGGCACCTGAAGTGCCGGACAGTAGGCCTGAGTATCACTCGAGGATGCAGTCGTGGTATGACTGCAAGCGCCGCAAGTTGTGGTCATTTGGGTTGTAGTGGTGGTAGTGGTAGCCACACATGTAGGTCTCGCAGACCACCTACAGTTCCTCTGACACACCACTTGCGAGGAACCCGAGAGAGTGTACCCAGAATTGCAGGCAAACGTACAAATGCAACCAACTTATCATGACAATTTAATTATCAATAAATATAATCATAATATAAAATATTTTACTGTTAAATTACCCCGAGTATGACACTCGCCAACTGTATAGCCATTAGTTGGTGCATTCAAATGTGGGCACCGGTGTCTTGGTGAAACACATTGGGTTGTAGTGCCACTCCATGTATTATTTGACAGGCATTGGTGAACCGGATTGCCCACCAAATGATACCCATTTCGGCAATAAATACGGCAAACATTTCCAACTCTTGTACCACAATTGCGATCCAATACCCCGTTTGGTGGGGCTCTCAGCGCCGGACAGTTAGTGCCCGTAAATCCAATTAATGACAGAATTAACACAACTTTGAAACATATTTTTTGCGATTAGTTTTAGCAAATTAAATGCCAAGTTGTGTTTTCATTTGTTTTATAGCTTTTAAGTGCAAATTGTTTCTTAATTAATTCCCAGATCTAATAGCCTCTCATAATTCAAACAGTGATTTACGATATCATAAAGAATGGCTTATTATATGAAATATAATAAAAAGTAATTAAATCGGAGATAAGGCTATAGCCTATTGAGACAACTCTTATCAAGTTTTAAATTTTCTAAATTATGACAATATTAAAAATTTATATTATTTACTCATTCAGTAAATGAACAAAATTATCACAAAATTGAGAGTACACTCGTGTATAGAAACTGTTTCAATGAATTTCCTCTAAAAGGCATTAAATTTGTTTTAAATTGAATTTTCCTCTAAAGAGTAAAATCTATAAGAATTTTATTTTAACATTCTTTATATAAAACGATATTATCTTTAATATAACTAATCTAGTAATCCATTAAATCCCAAATATTTTAAAGTAATAAATAATATTGTTATGAATTAAAATGATAAGTAATGATAAATTTAATTCAATAATTACCTGCAATTATAAGAATCATTGAAAACGGTTCACACATTCACAGCATTTTAATATTTAAAATAATTTAATCTACTAGATATTTTTATTATTATACACATTTGTATATATTTTTAGTAAGTGAATAATTTAAACAATATTTAGAATTCAAATATAGTTCATAAAAAAAATTTCTGAATGGTTTGATAGACAAAAATAATAAATAAAATTATTTTATTTGTCAATAAAATTAATCTATCAATAATATTTTTCATTGAACAGTAAACAATCATAAGTAAAATACTTTGGTTTAAAATTAACAATTTAATTAATATTCTAACAAATTTCAAACATTGTTTAGATGTGTTTAAATAAAATATATAAATATTATGCTAATTATATAAAAATAATGTAAACATCTTAGAGGTGTCCAGAAGTTATAAATAATTTTACCATTTAACAACATTAACCCTAATAACATTGGTTTGTGATTGCATAACATTAACCACACAAACCTATTGAAGTTATGAATTCATGCCATCAATTGTATGTCAATTATCTTAAAATATCATCAAAAATACCATAAATTAGAGCACACCTGCAAATGTATTGTCTATCTATTAAACTCTCTTTTGAAAAGAAACTATCACAGAATCTGATCCCTTTCCTACTAATACTGTAGATTTGTCTGACATTTAAATTTTTATATCTAATATTTAATAATAATACTGTATATATGGTTCCCATTAAACTTAATGAATAATAAAAAATAAGTAAAACTATTTAACAAACAAATAAATATTGATTAGCAAAATTAAAATTAAGAGAATTGTCAAATAAAAATCTTTGTCTTATAATATACTTATTAAATACGAAGAATTAAAAAAACATAACCCATTATATGAATGAAAATAAATGACAACTAATTCATCATTCATTGGTTGAGCAGTTTGTTTCGTGTAAATCATATCTCTTGAGACGTGGTCTCATCGGACTTGAGGTCTGAGGCCGTGACCACCATTTGGGGCCTAATTACTCGGCCAAACTTCCAGGTAATGAATTTGATGGCAAACAAAAATATGACACAAAATACGATACTTATGACACTTATGTATATAAAAACGAGTGGCCACTTGGATATGGACGAGGTGACGATGTATGGGTAGATCGCACCCATACCTCCGCCAACAAACAGTAGTATAGCTGTCTTTTTGTCATCGATCTTAAAGTTTTGCTGCAAAAACGCGTATATCGTTGGCGTGACTGATCCGCAACCAATACCAATACCAATATTATAGATCCAGAGCCAAATAAAGGGCAAATTATACGTAAAAATCGCCACCAAATTAAAGGCAATAATAATTGTGAAGTGAAATAATAGTATATAATGGGCCGACACTTTCAACATTAGCAATATCTCCACACCTAATGAACATAAATGACAAAAAAAACTATATCAATATATAGCTCGCAATTAAAAAATATCTTATATCTAGACCTCGGGTCAGCGTATAGACAGCCAGGGTAACAGTTGCCAGTATAGTGCCATCGGCTTCACTCATCTGATAGCTGGACAACTGTGCGAACACTGATTCGTAAGAAAAGTAAGTCATTTCCATCGATGTATAAGTGGCTAACAGAAGGCACCCGAGGATTACTATCATAAAGCCGTAGATGGGCTTCAGTTCACGCCTTTCCGACTCGTGTATCAACTCTTCGGTAATGGATGGCACTTGCGATGGGTTCTGAGGCACCGGCTGCGGTGTCGGCTCGCCATCAGTGGCTCTGAATTTTCCACTGAATATGACGAAAGTTACGACAATACCGCTGATGATGATAATGGCGCCACAGATCACGTACGCGATGACCAACTGCGACGAGTCCGACGAGTCCAGTATGAAGGGTCGGGCTATTTGCGGCGCGATGATCATACCGGTGCCGAAACAGAAGTGCAATGCCAACAGATAGGGACCCGCCTTCTCGTCCCACATCTCCAGAATCCAGGCGTTGTTAGCCGTATCGCTGGCACCGGCCGCCACACCCTTTGGTTTTATTAAATTATATATATATTTAGAAATTAATTCAATTGATATTTAGTTGAGTTTTTTTTGCATACATTTATGGCTCCAATTGTGTAGAATATGGGAAGTGATTTGACAGTAGGAAGTAGACCCAGAGTCAATCCCATTGTTATTGTGGACACTATTAAGCATATCTGCCGGTTCACGTATTTGTAACCAAAACCAGCTATAAATAAAACCACAATAAATTAGTAATTTAATTATGTTATTTCAATAAATCGTTAATCTTAGCATGTGCCTTTGTAATTCAGAAAGTTATTAAAATAAAGTTTAAAAATTTGTTTTAATAAAATTTCTGAACTTGTCTAATTCTTGATGTATTTGATATATTGATTATTCATAAGAATCAATGCGTTGAAAATTATTCTTTAAATAGTAAACTGACATATCGTTCATAACAGTTAACCTTTAATTATCTGCCGACAAATCTACTAAACCTAACCCACGAGGAGTTTGATGGCTGTCCAAAAGTAAAGGTCGCTTTTAATCTCGAAATATGAAAGACAATGCTATAATTGGTGTCACTATAATTGTGGCACTCCTGGGGTTTTCACAAACACTAATTGAATTGTGAGATAAACATAAAGTCTTCCTATTGTTTAGTCAATGCACTCGAGACTTGTTATAATTATAAAGATAACCAATTCATTGATTTTCTTGTCGACATTTGTTCACAATTTATCACACTTTCTCTATTTTTAAAAGACCCATGCATATTAGCTATCATATTATGTTGTAGGAATTATTTAAATAATAAAAAAAGTACATTTGTATGTGTTTTAATATTTATATAATATGAAACATTAGGAAATGTTTTTTAAAACAAAATTACTCTAACTTACAAACAGTGACATTTCAATGGTATTAAGTTTTTTTTAAAGTGAAAGGCTATAATTAGAGTCAAATATTGAGTTACTCAAAGGGAGAGGGAAATTATCAGTGATAAACTAGTTGTGCAGCAGAATTGGTCTCATATTGAGTGAATAAAGCTCTAATTTTCGCTGGAAATGAAAACCTGTCGGTAGTTTGAGGAGCACCCAATCCAAATCATCTAAACAGCCGTCTATTAATTTCCAATTGACAATACTTGCTATACAGTCAAATGATAAACAAGAATAATTTTCAACGCATTGATTCTTTTGAATAATCAATATATCAAATACATCAAGAATTAGACAAGTTCAGAAATTTTATTTAAAAATTTTTTAAATTTTAATTTAATAACTTACTAAATTACAAAGGCACATGCTAAGATTAACTATTTATAGAAATAACATAATTAAATTACTAATTTATTCTGGTTTTATTTATAGCTGGTTTTGGTTACAAATACGTGAACCGGCAGATATGCTTAATTGTGTCCACAATAACAATGGGATTGACCCTGGGTCTACTTCCTACTGTCAAATCACTTCCCATATTCTACACAATTGGAGCCATAAATGTATGCAAAAAAAACTCAACTAAATATCAATTGAATTAATTTCTAAATATATATAATTTAATAAAAACCAAAGGGTGTGGCGGCCGGTGCCAGCGATACGGCAAACAACGCCTGGATTCTGGAGATGTGGGACGAGAAGGCCGGTCCCTATCTGTTGGCGTTGCACTTCTGTTTCGGCACCGGTATGATCATCGCGCCGCAAATAGCCCGACCCTTCCTACTGGACTCGTCGGACTCGTCGCAATTGGTCATCGCGTACGTGATCTGTGGCGCCATTATCATCATCAGCGGTATTGTCGTAACTTTCGTCATATTCAGTGGAAAATTCAGAGCCACTGATGGCGAGCCGACACCACAGCCGGTGCCTCAAAACCCATCGCAAGTGCCATCCATTACCGAAGAGTTGATACACGAGTCGGAAAGGCGTGAACTGAAGCCCATCTACGGCTTTATGATAGTAATCCTCGGGTGCCTTCTGTTAGCCACTTATACATCGA